GTGTGGATAGCTCAGAGCCTGGAGCCTGCTTCGGATTCTGTGTCTCCCTCTCTCTCCGCTGCTCCCCCCGCTCACGCTCTGTCTCTCTCTCCTTCAAAAATAAATAAACATTAAAAAAAATTTAGAAGAGGTGTTTGGCCTGCTGTGGTGTCCTGGTGCTTTGGCCAGGAGCAGGTGGGGACCAAGCGGGCCAACAAGGCACCTGCCTGTGAACTGTTTTCCTCCAGCAGCAGCAGGTGCTGAGGGCAGAGGGGCCAGGGAGAGCCCAGGCCTGGCCCCGACAGAGGAGCTGCTGCCCAGACCGGGACTCTGTCCAGACTGTTTGACTCAGTGCAGACACCCACGGACCAGGGTGAGCTTCTGCAGACCCCATGGACACATTTGATTCTGTAAGTGGCCTGGACACTCCTCCATTGAAATAGTAGAGTTTAAATCCCTTCATCTGGGGGCACTGAGTGGCTCAGTCGGTTAAGCCTCTGATTCTTGGTTTTGGCTCAGGTCATGATCTCACAGTTTGTATGTTCAAACCCTGTGTTGGGCTGCACGCTGATAGCACAGAGCCTTTTGGGGATTCTCTCTCTCTCTCTGTCTCTGTCCCTCCCTGCCCATCTCTCTCTCAAAAATAAATAAATAAACTGAAAAAAATAATAATAATAAATCCCTTAGTCTTGAATGTGAGCTGAAGTTAGTAACTTCGTGACTCCTTTTCAACAAATAGATGTGGTGTAGGTGATGGTATATGACTTAAGATCCTAGGTCATAAAAAACATACACCCCTGTGCCTCTCTCTGCTCCCCCCACATTGTTCTGGGGAGGAGACAGCCACCGTGCCATAAGGCTTTTCAAAAGCCCTACAGAGAGGCTTACACAGACACGCATCAAGGCTTTCCATCAACAACCAGCGCCACTGTGAGTGGAGTGGACAACGTGGAAGGGCCACTCTCCAAGTGGATTCTCCAGCTACAGCCAAGCCTTCAAATGACCACAGGTCCAGCTAATATCTTATTGCACCCTCATGAGAAACCCCAAGCCAGTGGGGCACCTGGGTGGCGCAGTTAATCATCTGACTCCTGATTTCGGCTCAGGTCACGATCTTACAGTTCATGGGTTCGAGCCCCGCATTGGGGTCTGTGCTGACAGTGTGGAGCCTGCTTAGGATTCTGTCTCTCCCCCTCTCTCTGCCCCTCCCCCCTCCAAGGTAAATAAACCTTTTAAAAAAACAAAGGAAAAACAACAACAAAAAAGAAACCCCCAGCCAGAACAGCCCAGCCAAGCTGCTGCTGAATTTCTGAGCCACAGAAATGGTGAGGGATAATAAATGAGTATTGCTGCTTTAAGTTCGTAAGTTACACAGCATTAGATAACCAGAGCCTGTCTGCATCAGCCTGCCTATGTGCTACCTTAGTTAACTCTCTTAAAGCGCAACATCTCATTTTACAGATCAGCAACCTGCTGCCTGGAATTATTGAAGAACTTATCACATGGTCGTGGAGCTAATTTACAGCCACGCTGGATTTCACACTCAAGGCATACCGTACAGGTCATACGACTGAGTGCCAGGCACGGGACAGAAACACAGACATGAAAACAGGTAAGTGGGGCGTCGATCGGAGAAAGAGGGTATGGAACAGGAGGAGAAGGGTCATGGAGCTCAGCTGGAAGGAATGGAACTGTTAAATGAGCAAATCCAGTAGGGTGAGGAGTAAGATCTCAGGCAAAGAGAAAACCACAGCAAGAGGAGAAAAAGGAGAACAAGGGAATGGTTTGTTTTCTTTTAATGGCAAATGAGGGGACAGCAGAGACCACAGCAGGAACCAAAGTGGAGAAAGAGGCTCTGGCAAAGCTAGCCTGCTTATTTTCTGTTACTCATTTTCTGTCACCCCTGGCAATAGGACCTCCCCCCTGTAGTAATGGCATTTAAATGAGAAAAGTGTATGCAAACGAAGTAACTTGTTATTTTATTGGTGCTAATGTTCACATTCCTCAAGTTAGCTCCACCTTATCCAGAGACAGGAGTAGGAATCTGAGAGTTTTGTCCCAGAAAAAGAATGAAACCAAAAAAGGGAACGTGGAGAATATGACAAGGGCCTCCCAGGAAGGTCTCCAGAAGCCACAGATCTGATTCTTTCCCCCGTAACCCTGGTAAGGAATCAGGGTTAAGTAATAAATTTTGCAGTTGTCCATGCGTGATTCATTCTGGCGTTAATGCTGAGGGAAATCCTAGAACTCAGGCCCCGGGCTGGCCAGCCAGTCACTCCCAGCGCTCTGTGTAAGGGGTCAGAATCTTGTAGGTGCCCTGCCTGCTTTGGCCATTTCTACAGAGAATTAGGCTGCCCACGAAGAATGTATTAGTTTCCTAGGGCTGCCTTGCCAAGTAGCACAAACTGAATGGCTTAAAAGAACAGAAATTCATTATCTTAGTTCTGGAGCCCTGACATCTGAGATCAAGGGGTGATCAGGGCCATGCTGTCTCTGAAGGCTCATGTGGGAGGATCCTTCCTTGACTCTCCCTCGCTTCTGGTGGTCCGCTGGAAATATTGGCTTGCAGTTATAGTCCTTCAGCCTCCATTATCACATGACCATCTTCTCCATGTGTGTCTCTGTGTCATCTTATTAGGACATCAATCGTGTTAGATTTGAGACCACCCTAGTGACCTCACCTGCAGAGATTACATCTGCAGAGATCTTTGTGCATCGTAAAGATCGCATTCTGAGGCGTTGTGGGTTAGGATTTCAATATAAGAATTGGCTAGGGGGAAGCATTCAACCCATGACAGAAAGGGAGCAGAATCCAGAGTCAATGAAAATAGACCAACGGAGAAATGACCCCAAATGAATAGCCCAAGTTGACTCACACCTTAGATGTACCCACCTGCATTCCCGTGACAGTCCTTCCTCTGTCTCTTCACATCACTTGCAGTCCCCACAATATCACAGTTAATCTGCGAGATAAGGTGCCAGGCATCGAATGAGAAGATTTGGCTCAGCATGACTCCGCTGCTGACTGTGTGACTTTTCCAAGCTGCCCACCTGATCAGTGACCTTCAAGTGAGTGTCCCTCAAACACGCAGCAGCTCATGGGTCACTTGAGCTTTGGTGAGGCATTCACACTGGGCAGGAATTTCAATATGGGAGACGCCTACTCCTTAAATGGGTGCTGGTTCCAAGATGTATCTCTTAGCTCCCATCATGGCATTTGCCACTCAACCTTACAGAAAAGAATGGGCAAAGGGAGCATCCACCCACAACTAGTTACAGGACAATCTAGAAATGGCACACACCCTCCTGGGAACATCCCATTGTCCAGAACCCAGCTATATGGTCACACTTGGAAACCAGGAAGGCTGAGAAATGAGGTTTCTAGCTGGGTGGCCATGTATTCAGCTAAAAATCAAGAGCTTTGGGGCACCTGAATGGCTAGGTCAGTTAAGCATCTGACTCTTAATTTTGGTTCAGGTCATGATTTCATGGTTCATGGGAGCCTTCACATAAGGCTCTGTGTTGACAGTGTGGAGCCCGCTTGGGATTCTCTCTCTTTCCCGCACTGTCTTCCGATCCCCCATTCTTGCTCACATGCTCTCTCTCTCTCTGTCTCTCAAAATAAATAAATAAACTCCAAATAAAATTTTTTAATAATAAGGATAAAAATCAGAAGTTTATTATTCAAAGTAAAAAGGCCGAATGGATATTAGTGGAAAACTGTCACATACTTTATATATATTTTTTATATTGTGAACATTTTCTGTGTCGTGATCTTTAAAAATATTATTTTAATATTTTCATAGTTTCGACCACTGTTACATAGTCATATAAAAATTTACATCATTATTTCCTTCTTGTTGGACATTTATAATGTTAATTTTTTCACAGTATAAATGCTGTCGGAAAGAACAAACTCACTTATCTTTTTTTAAATTTTTTTTAATGTTTATTTATTTTTGAGAGAGAGAGAGAGACTGAGTGCAAATGGGGGATGGGCAGAGACAGAGGGAGACACAGAATCCCAAGAAGGCTGTGCTGTGTCAGCAGTGCTGACCGCTCAGAGCCTGACACAGGGCTCGAACCCACAAACTGGGAGATCATGGCCTGAGCCAAAGCCGGACACTTAACTGAGCCACCCAGGCACCCCCAAATTCACTAATCTTTGTGCAATTGTTTGATCATCTCCTTAGGATGAGCTTCTAAAAGGCTTCCTTGAGGCCCCACGACCCAAGTATTTGTTACAGGGACCAAATTAGCCTGAAAAACTGCTGATCCAAGTTCTGAGAGAAGTGAATCTTCCACGTTCTTGGTACACCTCGTGCCTCCCTCCCCCATGCCGCCTAGCTTTGGCCAGCTCTTCTAGGCCCAGAGCTGGTTAGGAGCACCAAGGTACTTGGGAGATAATTTGTTTGTAGCTGGAAGTGCCATTGCTGGATGTGTTGAAGGAGTCTGATGTGAAGGACTTGCTTTGAAATTGTGTGCCAGGCACTTCTAGGCCTTGGTATGTGTTCTCTTACTCATCAACTCTATTTGATTTTGTTTAACATTTACTTATTTTTGAGAGACAGAGAGAGACAGAGGGTGAGCGGGGGACAGGCAGAGAGAGAAGGAGACACAGAATCTGCAGCAGGCTCCAGGCTCCAAGCTGTCAGCACAGAGCCCGACGCGGGGCTCGAACCCACAAACCGTGAGATGGTGACCTGAGCCGAAGTTGGCGCTTAACCAACTGAGCCACCCAGGCGCCCCCCCGCCCCCGTCCCCCCTCCCCCCCCGCCATCAACTATATTTATATACTGCTCTACAATTTGTAAATACTTAACCACACATGATCTCATTGGCTGGCTCCAACAGTGACTTTTCTGAGACACAAATCTGATAACTACCACTTCCGTGGCTCACACACTTTGAACTAACCATGGCACTCTCAGATTCAAGTCCAAATTCCTTAACATGATTTATACATCCCTATAACTGCTGTATTAATTAGTTTTTACTAAAGAAAAAAAAAACACTCAAAATTTAGCTGATTAAAATAATAGCCATTTATTTAACTCATGATTTTATGAGGCAGCCACTCGGGCTGGGCTCAGCTGGGCAGTTCTTCTCATGAGCTTTGCTGGGCTCACTCGTGCATCTGTGGGCAACTGTAGGAAGCTTATATGCAGGCATTTTTCAAGCCTCTTCTTTGCATCATATTTATTAATTTCTCATTGGCCGAAGCAAGTCCCATAGGTGATTCAGATTCAAGGGATGAGATGGGAAAGTCTATGACCCCTGTTGATAAGAGGAAAAGAACATGTGGCCATTTTGCCCTCTACCACGACTTCCTTTTCTTTCTTTTTTTTTAAATTTTTTTTTTAACGTTTATTTATCATTGAGAGACAGAGTATGAGCAGGGGAGGGGAAGAGAGAGAAGGAGACACAAAATCTGAAGCAGGTTCCAGGCTCTGAGCTGGCAGCACAGAGCCCAATGTGGGGCTGGAACTCACAAACCGAGATCATGACCTGAGCCGAAGTCTGACGCTTAACTGACTGAGCCATGCAGGCGCCCCAACTTCCTTTTCTAGTCTCCTCTCTTTGGGTCCCTTTTTTCATCTCCACAGACTGCTCCAGCCAAGCTGACCAGCTTATAGCTCCCCATCCTGCCTTGTTCTTCTAGGCTTCCAGGCTATGGTTCAGGCTAATGCCTTGCCTACTATGCTCCTGCATTATTCACCTAGCTTAGTCCAGCCGGGCCCCATCCCAGATGTCCCTTCCTCCAGGACGCCTTCTCTCATCTCTAGATAAGAGTAGGTCTTCTTTTTTGGCATTCTGTGTGCTTCCTCTTCCAACCCTTACCAGGCTCTGTTACAAACGTCTGTTTTCTTGTCCCTTCCTTCCACAAGACGGTAAGGGACTTGAGAGCAAGGTTTGTTTACTGTTGCATACTTGATACTTAGTACCAGATAGTAGGAGCACAGTAGCTATCCATTGGTCTACTGACTAACTGCATATGAATGAGCAGAAAAAAACAGATACAGGAAAGCCTTTTGCACATCTGTAAGCACCAGACGTATCATGAGGATAGAATCTTTGAGTTGGAGGGGACCTTAGTTACCTTCTTGTCTCTGCATAAACCCTTGGCACAACATGGTTAAAAACTGCTCCTCAGTCCATCGGGCACAACCATAGGGAGGAGAAAGTCGCCTGTTCATCAGAGCTCATTCTATTGCGAGCTGCTTTCAGGCTTAAAACTCCCTCTTTCGGGTTGAACCCAAATCTAGTGCCTCCTGCCTGTTGCACGAGAGGAGCCTCATGGTAAAGATGAGGCTTCTGTCTGAAGCCTCAAAGGTAAAGATAAATCCATCTCCCACACATCAGGCCTCTTCATCTGAGATCTAGCAACTGTTGCTCTTAGCCCGTTCTTACAGCCCTCACCGTCCTGCCGGCCCCCCTCTGGACATGCCCAAAGTGTCTCTGCTTCTCTTGGAAAGTGACATCCAGGGCTGGTCAAGATCTGCCCCGGGGATTGAGAGACGCATCTCTCTGTGAACCAGTCATCAAGACTGTGATAGCAGCAGCGAAGTCTAGGAGTGCTGGGAATCGCAGCTCCCATAGAAACGGAACTCAGGCGCAAATCAAAATATTAGGATGACATTTCTAAAAAGCACGGTTTCATCTGGCACCGGCATGAGGACAACCTGGGTCTTTTTTCCCCCCTTTTTTCAGGCGTTCTTACCTTTTGGTTCCGGGTAAAACCCCCCCCCCCCCCAAACTCAAACTTGCCAGATTTCGAATACGTGTTTCTGGTAGAAAGTGGCAAGGGATATTGAGGTACATTTCATTATGAACAGATTGTAAGCTTTGGAATGAAGCAAACAGGGGATCGGACAACTAGGTCCAAAATGCAGTAGGTGTGTGCATTAAGGAAGGGACTGAAACTTCCTAAGGCTATGCCTTTCCTCATCACCCCCCCCCCATAATTGTTAGGACCGCGTGCATATTTAGAGCTCGTCAAGGGTCACGCTGAGTACACTCATGCATTTTATGCATTTTAACATGTACCCCACTCTAGGAAGAAGGCTCCAGTATTATGCTCGATTCGTAGAAGAGGAAATGGAGACTCAGAATGTTCATAGAAAGTCATTTGCTAGACTCCGCAGAGCTCGTAAGGGGCAGTTCTGGGCCGTAATCCCCAGCTTCTCCAGCTCCAGATCCCCTGCAGCCGTGGAGTACTCTAGCAGCCTTCGCACCTGCATCCCCACCTTGAAAGTCAGAGCCGTGGGTGATTCCTGCCAGTGACGGTGACGGAGAGGAGCTGCCACGGCTCCGTGACCATGGGGCTCCCACGGCAGCTTTGCGCCACCCTCAGTGGTGAAGGCCTGGCAAAGGCTCCGCTCTGCGTAATAGTCTGTCCGTCTCTTCAGGGTTTTGCAGCAGTGACCAGCTTTGTTGCTATATTGGCACACTTTCCCAGAAATAGATTAGAAAGCAGGGAAAATTTTAAAAACGGGGGTGGGCGGGGGAGAAAACCCACTCTGATGTGTTAGTTTGCTACCGGCCTTAACTCCGTAATAAATAAAGACTGCAAATGGGAAGCAAAGGCATGAACTGAAAATAAGCTGGGTGAATCATGGCGTGCAGTTTGTACAGTGTATAAATATTCATGTTAAATTACCTTTTACTCCGACACCATGGTTCTCCTGTGTGCACTTAGGGCTGAGTGGTTTCCGTAGGCCTTAGTTACTGACACAAATGCGTGTGACTTTTGTGAGAGCTCAAGGAGTAACTAAGGACTATTAGCACAGGCCTGAAGAATGTAGGATCCCGGTGTAAGCCCCAGAAGCTCAAGCACCCTCTCTGCTTTTGGCAAGAGAACAGTAATCCATCTCTTGGTCTTTCCTAGTCAACGGAAACTGAGCTGGGGGAAAAAATCCTTAATCTTAGCAACAGCAGGATCTGGTATTTGAGCTGCAGAGCTTAAAGAAAAAAAAAAAAAAGCCTTGTTGAAAAGTTCAAATCTAGGTAACTAGTTTCTGAAAGAGTCTTTTGTACGATGGAGACAGGCTGCATGGGGAAGGAGGAGTGAGGGCCATGCAGGGAGGTCCCCACGCTTTCCTGACTGCTGGGTCTGTTCCCTTCCTGCGAGGAGAAGCATGGCGGCCCCAGGAAGGGCTGGTACCGACTGTCACAGCACTCCGTGGAAAAGCCAACAGGGGGAGTGAGAGTGCCAGAGGTTCAGCTGGCTCAGAGGCCCACATTCCTTCCCTTGTTCTCTGCTGGCCTCCCAGTGACCTTGGGGTTAAACTCCAGTCAAGTCCAATGGCCATGATAACACTTATCTCACTCTGTGCAGCGTGAGCGGCTTCCCACCAAAGGCCACACTCTCCGTGTGAGCTGTTGGAATTTCCTTACAAGGACACAGAGAGATGTGTCGCAGTCTTACTCCCCCCCAGCCATCCCCAAGCGTCCCTACCTAGGAAAGGGAAGTGTGCGGCATACGTAGTTCATGAGTGATGTGTATGTTTATATCATGCTGGCTAAGTGTCTTCGTGGAAAAAGATTCTACACAGATTGTGTTATATGGACAGGCAGGGTGACTTTCACGTGTTAAACCTGCCTTTCTCCTTTGCCTCATGGGTGCAAATTCATTACATCGGCATTTCCTTCAAATAAGGGTATAGAATCCATGAAGTTAAAACTTTCTAAGTATAGCTTTGGATGTTTGTTCCAGTTAATTCAACAAGCACTTCCCGAATACCTAGGATGAGGCAGGGATTACATTCAGGGCCAGGAGTGCGAGCACATCTGGTGCGGAGAAGAGAGGAGACTCTCGAGTCGGACCTGATTCACATTTGGGCTCTGCTACTTGGACCTTGGAGACCTGAGGTAAAAATGCTAAAACTTTTGGTGTCTAAAGTTTCTTCACCCATAAAGTGTGTTCACAATGCCCCAGAAGGCAGATGGGAGGATTCAACAAGAGAGCATGTCTGGAACCGAAGAGACTTTCTGCATTTTGCTGGTATTAAATCCCAGGTGCTACCTGCACAGAGGGCACAGCCTAACAGGGGGCCTTTTGGGCAGATCGGAGCATCTCAGGGTGCGAGTCTTGAATAGAGCGTGACTGCAGTTCTAGGGAAGGGCAGACACAGGGAAACTAAAGAGAGAGATGCTGGTGTCAGGCAGAAGGGCAGCCTTCCAAAGAAAGGACCGGCAGGAACAAGCGGAAGGAGGTGGGAACCTGAAGGCTATGTTCAGAGAAGCCGTGTCAATCCGTGACACTTGGATATAGTAGGATTGGGAAATATTTCTATTTCCTGTTGGTGTTAGAGAACCTTCGTGGAATATCTCTTGCTCCCTATGACTGGAGCATTTATGGATGTTTATAATAAAATATATAATTAATTAATAAAAGTAAATAAAACATAAAATAAAATAGATTTCAAGAGACAGAGTCATATATTGAGTACCCACGGGTCTTTTGCATACATGATTTCCTTTCATTCACTCCAAATAACGCATGAGAAAAATATTGTTATCTCACCTCAACAAATGAGGAAACTGAGGCTCACCCAAGTTCACACCATCAGTGAGAGGTGGAACTGGGGTGCCAAACCACCTTGACTAATGAACTCTGGCTGTAGGCAGAAGCAGGGTGGGCACCTTCTCCGTGCAAAAAAAGACTCACCTGTTTTCTGTATGTTTGTTAATCTATAGAATATCCCTGGGAGGTAAGACACAGAATTCACAGAAATCTTAGGTACCATGGCTTGTTCATGCTCACACAGAAAGTTAAGGCAAAAGAAGGACCATATGTAGGGTGCCTGGGTGGCTCAGTCATTAAGCGTCCAACATTGGTTGAGGTCATGATATCATGGCTTGTGGGTCTGATCCCCACATCAGGCTCTCTGCAGTCAGCACAGAGCCTGCTTAGGATCCTCTGCCCTCTCTTTCTCTGTCCTTTCCCTGCTTGTGCTCTCTCTCAATCTCTCTCAAAAATAAATAAACACTTAAAAAAAAAAAAAAAAAAAAAAAAAAGGACCATGTGGAAGGTCTGTGAATACCAAGACCGGAGATGGATGTATCTCTATGAGTCAGCCTCTTTGATGATAAGAGCTCGTATCATCTTCATACATTACATTCCACACATTCTGCACCTTGGCAAGTGAAGTCCCCATGTTCTGCCCCTCCAATAACCCAAATAACCCTTATTCTCTTGAGAACCATTGCTTTAGTGATTAGTAGCTTAAATCACATTTTCTCTGTAACAGCACATTTCCACACAACCTGAAACG